GAAAATACACAGAAAAAGTTTGTAGAGAAACACACAGCAAACGAATGTGTCAAAAATGAACTGTTTTTTACAATTAAATTTTGTTATACACAAAACTAAAACATGTTTGATATTTTGAAACAAGAAATAAAATATGCAAGAGTGGTGAGAAATATATACACGTTTTTCTCAAAATTGTGTAAAATTATGTAATAAAAAACTTACATACGTCCCTGTCAAAAAAATGTATTTGCTTATGGTAAATCGTTACTAACACTCTGCAGAGAATTTATCAAAGAACGTTTGGTATTTTCCTGCCTTTGATCTAAAAAACATTTCACTTGAAACTAAATATGTAATGAATGAATGATACATTTTTTACTCATTATATCTACCTAGGGTAGTTATTTTGAGTCAATAACTTCAAGATTGTATTACATCACCACACAAATTTCGTCAAGTTTAGTCATTAATAAAAAATCACAAACAAACCAAATTGAAACACACCATATTTTCTACATTAGAAAAATGGACTGCAAATATAATTGAATAAATTTTGTAATCAATGACACAACATGTACTTTGATATGGAATCTGTATGTTAAATACATTTAACAACGAGTAAAACGAAAGACTAATTTACCATCGAAGTCAAACTGTCCACTGCAAATTTCATTTTTGAAGTCAGATGAGTGTTATTATCATGTTATGATATTAACAACGTATTTCAGGTCAAAGTATGGTCCAAATCACTACATAATTAAATCCAATAATTTGGTTGCAACTCATCACTTAACTTTAGGACTCAAATTTATTTTTCCTTTAAATTTAATACACGCCTTGTTTTATTTAGCTAACTTTGCACATCGTTTTTTATCATATTGTTGTGTTCTTTTATCTTCACTGCTGCTTTTTTCAATTACCAGCTTAATTATTGCGTATATTTCCCTCCACCATCCAATTTAGTGCGAAGGAAATTGTGTTGGGTTCGATATGAGTTTAATCATTGATAAAATTTATTTTGCAACAGATTGTATAGGGTCCGAACCGAACCCTTGTCATATAGCACTCGCAACACGCCAACACACAACCCCATGTTTTTTTTACACAATTCAACCCCGTTTCCAGCAAATATTAAACCCGATCGGCCCTCACATCAGTAGCGATAAATTATATCAGGTCGGACATTTTAAGAAAATTGAATTCTGTTTACAACGCGATATCTTCGAAATTTATGAAGAGGAGAAATCAAAGATGTCCGAATCGGGACCGATTGTTGCCTTTTTACGTAATCACTTATTCTTTGTGTACAGAGAGCAATATCGATAGCCTTGATGGCTTGGATGCTCCCGAACAATACAATCGGGACGTGCTACCGTACCATCAGATAAAAAGTAAAGTATGATTATGTGTTTATTTCGTTATGGATTAAGTGGAAAACAAGATGCTTATAGGAATGAAACCGCGTCAAGGGAACGATACGGTTCGTTTCTTTATTACGTAACATAGAGGCTATGATCGTTTGCATGCATTTTTGGCCCCAAGTGAAATCTTATCTCGTAATGCTGTGAAAGATGTTTCACTTCGCACCAAATAGATAGAACACTCTTTACGGTAAGCGCGAGACGAGTAATTACATTAGCACGAAGTACTTGCCCTGTGCTGGACCTGATTTAATCGATTTTCCAACTAGAAGAGGTAGACGTTCAGTCTGTCGCAAAATCTCCTGTTGGATAATAAATTTATGACGTATGGTTTAGGGATTATGTTTTATAGTATATTTTTTAAAAGTTTGATCCCTTTTGGAAGCGAGTGGGATCGTGAAAGGTTTTGTGATATGATATGGGAAATGTCCCCTAAGATATGGCCGAGCAGATACGGAGCTCTCTCGAATTCATAAATAATAAATGGCCGATCAAATATTCATGTCTTTGTGATCTCGCGGCCTTCTGAACATCGTACGCGTGTTCGAATATGGATAGCTTGACACTTTAAATATGCAAGAAATCTGCACGCTCAGTGGTAATGCAGAGGGTGAAAAGTAATACTAGGCTTTATTAGAATTGCTGGATTCGTCTCCTTATTGGTTCTGCCAAAGAATTATTTCCATGGAATTTATGAATTATATATGCAAAAAATGTCGTGTCTCTACCGGGTGTTCCATAAAATATTGAATGTGCAGAATGGCAGAGTAAGTAAGTTTAGTTTTTTCAGTTCTGAATTTTAAAATATTACGAAACTGTTGTTAGTAACAGTTAAGGATGTTTGTCTCATTTAAGATGACTCCTATAATAATTTTTATAACTTCGAACCTTTTTGTACTCTATTTAAAAAATTATAAAAATACATTATGTTAAAAATATATTATGTCAAAACAAAATCAGTTTTACAACATCTTCATTGCTTCAGCGTTTGAAGTAAATTGTATTAGTTAGTGGATTTAAAAACCATGTGCATGGAACTAAAAGAAATAAGAAATAAGTGAGATTTACTTAACAAAATTTTGAAGTGACGTAGTCACATTTAAAAATCTGGTTGGTAGTACTGAAGAAGGTTAATCTTTGTAAAAAAAAAAAACAGATTCCAGTTGGAAAAAAAAAGACTAAAGAAATTTTACACGAGCTAAAGAAAAATACGGAAGAAAACTTAGAGAACTGTTTATTAGAAAAGAAGTACAGTGAAAAGCAGAGAGCAAAGCAACTAGTTGGAAGAATAGAAAAACTCACAAGACCGAAAAACAAGTTAATGAATTGATTTGGTAGTTTCGAAGATTATCTGTGCAATAAGAATGGACACAGACGACAGACGCCAAACTGACATACAAACAGACAGACAGACAGATGGTAGACAAATAAAAAGAACAGACAGACAGACGGTAGACAAACAAAAAGAACAGACAAGCAGGCAGACAGACATACAGACAGGCAAACAAACGACAGACAGAGAAACGGAAACTAGAGACCTATTACTTCCTACTCTAGGAATCATAAGACGCAGAAAGCACATGAAAGTAACAATTCGCCAGATGCACCCTATTGCAATACTTTCTTAGTTTACGCTCGAGAAGTAAAAATCATTTAAAACAGATGTGTGATGAACTGATGATAGCATAAGTTGATTTGCAGTGACGTGATGGAAATTCCACAGCAATACTCGATTGCCTGACCCCATCTGCACACCAGCCGACTTATAATGTTTATTTAGGCAGAAAAAACGTAACCAATTTGCTACCGCGACTGATGTTTTTTTATGGCTTTTGTGAAATCAAGACTACTGCGCCCGTCAAGATACAAGATCTAAGTTGTTTATAACGGGTGTTTAATTGAAAAATCACTCAGAGTGGGCGTTGGAATATTATTTGACAGAAACGACATGTCTGTTCTTATAACATATAAGATACAACAGGCCATGTTTCTGCCAACCCCTATTTTGAGTAATTTTTTAATTGAACATCCGTTATATACCAGATTATAAATATATTTTTTGTTGTGTCTAGAATTAATATTACATTTACCTTTTTTTTAAGTTTATGACGTTATGGTTAATGTAATCAAATCTTCTGTATCATTGTTATGTAAAATAAAAGGTAGAGAAAACATGAAATTAGTTATTCGTTAAATGGACCCCATTACAGATCATTTTACGCGCGAAAAGTAAAAAGAGTGGAATATTGATCATTTCTGTGTTGATTTAGTGTTCTAAATATGTTGCCTGATTTTTATCAGTGGTAAATTGGTAATTAATTTAGTAACATTCGGTGAGCGTGGCAAATTTATTTTACCGATGGAAACTAAATCAAAAATAGTGGTGAACCGAATTCGCGCGCAGCTTCCATTTTTTTTACAACTATTAACAACGTTTTAACAACTATTTTTGTTCCAAAAAACTCGTCTAGTTATTTAAAAAAAAAAACTCCCTTGTGCCTGAAGCACAAGCCATTAAATAAGGCCAGTTTTTTTTTGGTCAGAGTAATTAGACGAATTTTAATTTGCTTTTTATAATCTGCAGGATCTTTTCTATTGTGGAACAATTAATGCAGTAGTAGGAGATTATCTATTTAATAAAACTGCGCATAAGATAACACCCAACAGATGACAGGCGATGGACAGATGGAATCGGAACACCTAATTTTTCAAATTGCAGAGAAACATGTAATCGATCATACATCAGATGGACAGTATTGGAGTATTTCCTGCCCTAACTGACTCCCGAGAAATAAAAAATTAAAAATGTGATATTTCTATATTACGGCGTCTGTTTTTCTAATTGAACACCATTAAATTAACGCATCGGCGAAAAACAACAGAAAAATTTTTACGGTATTTTAAAGTACAATTCTGTCATTATTATGTCATGCCATGAATCAAACATTTACTAAAAAATAGAACGAAAACATAATTGTAGCAAATTATAAATTATGTTGTGCTTATATTGCGCGGCCTAATCCATAAATGTCAGAAAACCAAACTTTTAGGAGAAATCCGGGCCGTGTCATCATTGAGCACATCAAAATCCACTATAAATCGTTTGCTAATGGTTTGTAGTGCAATCAATTTTTTGGATAAATATTATTATGCATAAAAAATAATAATAATTACCACCGTCGGAAAAACAAAACTTTAATCTACGCTTCTCTGGTGCTACTTTTTAAAAATTTTATTCTATTTTATTGTATGTTATTTTTTTAATAATAAATCGAAAAAATTAACACTAGGGACGCAGAAAGTAACCTTTTTCCAGTAGAAACAGAAATGTCATTAGGAGATCCGTCGTTTTAAATTTATTAGTAAAAAAATGTAAGGTGATAATTTAGAACCATTTCCGTGGTATTTTCATCACCTTACTATATGGCAACCAGCGTAACCTTAACGTAGCAAACTACATTAGAATCAGTAGTGAACTTGTGGAAACAACACATTTTTATGAGTTTATCAAAACATGTTTCACTGTATAATATAAATAAACCAGTGTGTAAGAGACGGATCCTTAATCAATGTTAACAACAACATTTTAAAGCATACCTTTTCTCTCAGCATATCCCTCGTCCTGGTGGCCTGCGTCCGACTCCTGTGCAACTCCAACTGCAATTCCAGACATCTTTCTTGCCAATTAACGCTGCCGGGATCAACGACGCGACTCGGCCCAGAATCCAAGCCGTCCAGCGGTGGCAGAGCCGAAGAGGTGACGTCTCGAGGTCGACGCGGAAGCAGACGCGGCGACGACGGCGTCGAATGCGAGGACCTCGTCAATTCGGTCAATCGTGACAGCGGATCGAAAATTTGGCTGAGCCGTCGCGAATTCGCACTCGAATCCTCAGCCATTTTCACACTTCAACAACAAACGAAACTAGCTTAAGTCACCTCCATTACGAGAACGAATTGAAACTTAACAAGGAAAACACTAATTTAAACAATCTAAGGTTTCTGGATGGAAGTTACGAATCACAACCGCGTATTTTTGGTGGTAGTGGGAGAGGAAAAAACTTAGTCAACCCTTTGTAGGAATACTATGAAAGTCTAAACGCATACTGAGTGCAGACATCTCTAAGCTGAGAAATGCATGGCCATTGACCTTATAATAGGAGCTATAAGTTGTAAGGTCGTGTGTATGTACTCGGTATCTCTCTCTTTACTAATAAACATTGAATCATTCATTCATTCCGTCGTATATAAACACGGCACTCGTTAAACGCACTTCTATTTAATAAATTCGATGACATACTCATATAACAACATCGATTTAACAAATATAAACAACACTTTATAATTTTCAACACCTATATACTTATTTATTTTTGATTTTTATAAATATTTCTTCTTCGAAGACTTAATGGACGACGGCGTCTTTTATATCTGAAACAAAAAGCAAACGGTTAATTTATAGAATCATTCGCCGACACATTAATTGCTACTACATCTGCTACTAAGTACTATTTAAAAAGTGACGATTTGATTTAAAAAAACATCGGCGTCTTTTAGCTTGATCTAAAAATCCATAACGAGGATGACGTATTACGCAAAACCAATGCGTGCCGTTTTACATGCTAAAAATTATTTAGGAAATAATTCGTGTGTGGAATCGATACTAAAGTTGTTTTCAATTATTTTTGAAATACTGAAATACTTATATAGATTTAAAATTCTATTAATTCTGATCAATTTATACAGGAATTACTTTGTGATTATTTTTGAAGGAAAATAATCGCAAAGTAATTCATTTTAACAAAAAGTGACTTAAAATAAATATTTACAATAACGGTGTAACTATATCAAGAATATCTTAAATCGCCTTAATTAAACCGCTTAAAGCAACCTGCTTAAATAAATATTTTCCTTCAGCTAAATTCAAGAAGCTCAGTACAAACAACTTTTGGTAAAGCCTTAGCTAAGGTTTCGCATACATTTCCCTTTGCTCCCTGTACAAAGCTGAGGGTATTATTCAGTATTTACAATAATTTCAACTCGTGATCACGATATCATCCAACTTACAAGTTTCGTTGTTGGAAACTTAAGCCTTATAAACTGATCATTTATTTAACCGTATGTATATCGACAGTAAGTTCCTTTACTAAGCTTTTAATAAACATTAAGTTGCTATGACTTGTAGAATGTTTAATAAATTAGCAACAACCGTTCAAGCCTACACAAGTAATATATTGTCATTTAGTAACATTATAACACCCTGGTTTTGGAGTTCAGTGGGTGGAACAGAGGAGGAACAAGAAAAGCAACACTCACCAACAATGTTTTTTGCTATCAAATGTCAATACGACAGAGGTACGATAAGGTAAACGTTGTTGTTAATATTAAATCCATGTAACTTCCTGTAGCTGTGTTGTCTTTGCTGCCTCTATAATTACTTGTGTTAACACACATATTTTCCACGCGTAAACACATCGCGTGCACAGGACCCGTAAAAAGCACCACAACAAATATATTTTCACTTTATATCAGATAATTTAATGAATTAATAAATCTTCAAAATCAAAAGTAAAAATATAACATTTACTGCAGAATTATGTTAACACTCTACTGGCATGAAATATTCATAACTTGTTTTTCACTAATTAAAGTCGAATTTCGCATCATTGCCCGGTTTTACACCACTATTCGCCACACAAAGGTCAAAAAGTCGCAATCAACGCATGTGGAAAAAACGACCATCAAACATGTTTCCCAACACTGTCATAAGCTTTTCCCGGGGAACAGTTTTTGTATGCGTTTTTCCGACAGCCGAGCTGTGATAATAAATGATCCTTGATATAAGAACAAGGAAACTGACCGTAGATTTTTTGTTCCAGAGGCGTAAAAGTGGAAACCCCGTGTTTTGTCAGGTTCGAATGAAATAACGAAATTTACTAAAGACACCGAACTGGCTGAAATGATTTTTCGTCGAGAAGACAATCCAGAAAATTGACTGAGATGACGGCGATGTCAACAACTTTTTTTCTCGTTTTATTGTTCGGTAAAAGTGACGCCTAAATTCTCTGCAATTTAAACAACGATTTGATATGAGCCGACCGTAAACAATTTTTATTATTATGATTCCATTATCGTTAAATTTCCTTTGGTGGAATACACCAAAAGGTATATTATGAAGTTTAAATGAAGCAATATAGCAAAAACAAAGTTGAGCAGTTTAGTGAAAAAGACACGATGAAGATGGCCCAACGCCGCGAACGTAATCAATTAAGCTCTTAACAAGTGGTGTTTTTATCGCTTCGCGTTGGTAACAACACGTGTTTATTATGCTTAGCACATGTGTGTATCATTTATATTCCTCGGGATGTTACAATGTGTGCATCCTCAGAAACGACGCAGCCAACAAACCAATCTGAATATTCTGCAGTCGACGCTAAATTATGGAAAATATGAAACTGAAGCACAACATTTACAATTGCAATCCCCCGAGTCTTGTACCGAGGTGCAAATACGCCAGATCAATTTCAAACTCAATATAACTTTCGTATTGGTATTGGAAAATCTCAATTTCTAAAACTGTAATGCTCCAAACATGTATATTTCATATGAGCGTAACTAGTTTTGAACGGTCAGATTGGATCCTGCAATTTAACATTTTAACTTGAAAGAGCAACTCGTAAACTGGATGATACTGAGTAATCCGAAACAAATTTTTTGCATTTTCGAGTCTGTTATCAATATAAAATATTTTTAGAAAATTTATACTTTTTGAATTCAATTGAGTAACGCTTTCTAGTCAGTAAGAATTAACGGTTGAAGTCTTTGCAAGAAAAATCGCCAACAATTATTTCAATACATAATTATAAATTCAATAAATCAATGTTTCCCCAGAGTTATAATCTGTAGGACATTTGGAACAAATCTAAAATCAATCCGTAACAGCAAATTTTACTGTAAATTTTTGAAGCCGATACCCTTAGATGTTATACAGGGTTATTCACGAGAAGCAACTAGAAATGTAGTTTCAAAACCATCGTTGCTGTTTCATACCATTTTAAAAAAAATAAAAGATAATTTAATTAAATGTTTTGTGGCTATTGTTGCGAATCCACTTTGTCGCGAAGTTTTGTGTGCGACTTAATTTAATCTATAGAGAATTATTCACAAGAAGCTCTAGCCTAAAAAATTAAATTTAAAAACCATCTTTGACATTTAACATAACATAAGAAGTGCATAATTTTAAAAACTCCGAAAAATCACTAAAATTGCGGGTAACTATTTAAAAGAAACTAACTAACAAATCACACTAATACAACGATCTTGTTGATAAGGAAAATGAGACATTACAGATTGAGAAATACTAGATCTATCACTCCTACTTATACGTCGGTTCTCACATTTTCAAATCACCCTCGTAAATATAGGTGATGTTTTTCCGTACGATGCGAATTTCCTTTGATGAAATTAAACCTTCCCGTCGGAATTAAATTACGTTTATATTTTAGGACGAAATTTCATTGTTCCAATTTTCGAAGTTTGTAATTCTAGCTTTTATCAAATTGAAACCGCATTTCCCTCGCTAAAACTGAGAAAACATGCTCGGCCTAAATTCAATAACCGCGTAATTATTTACAACTTGTCAAGATTTCCTAGCAGAAAAACGACGACCAATTACCCCAATTCAATTTAAAAATTCGTTTATTGTGATTGGGCGGTTGACGGCAGAGGGACGAAGAGGAGGCAACATCGCATCGAGATTGACCCTATTTCCGGGTGGCCGATGCTGATCATCATCTCCGGCCTCTGATGACCTGGCCGGGCTCCAAATTACCCTTCCTCTAATGATCTATTAGGACCCAAGGGTGAACCAACGGGATCTCTTGGTGGAGACGAGCTGCACTCCCATCTATTATGGAACTATACAACTGCTAATCCGTCGTTTCACTCCATCATTTGCGAGGCAAATTTTTAGCGCAATTTCCTCTCGCAGGAACTAGCCACTTTTTCAAAAAGAGCACGTCGAGCTTATAGGATTACTCTTCCAGGAGGAAATCTAGCACGATACATAATTTGCTAATATGTGGTCATTGTCGCTACTCCAGCTCTTCGTTATTACTACTATTAGCTAACTTGGCAATTTTTTAATTTCGATACTTGGTGTCAGTCTAGTTTACAAATATTAAATTCGCAATTAGGCATGAATTGCAAGTAACTTAATTTTAAATTTAACCTCGAAGAAATTCGAATGTTTTAGTGAAAACTCAGCCCAATAACAGTGCATGTAATAAATAACTTTAAATTCAAATAACAATTATTTAGTAACAATTTTTTATTAAGAGCGGAACGACGACTAGTTTAACGTCATGCACTAGAGTTCCAAAAGTTTAAAATCTTGTAATAAAAAAACTGCTTTAAAATTATTTATACAGAACTTCCATTGCCACTGAAGTACAATAAAAGAAATCTAGTTTCTTAGATAAATTTTATTTTTATTTATTTAGGATTCCTTCTATAACTTAGAGATATGCGTGGGTTGTTAAACCATAAGTAAAAAAGCATGTTATGCGTATGTTTTAAATGAATTTTTCCAGAATAAAATTTTGCGATAAGGTCATCAACTTTTTTTCAAGGACACATATCAAATTGAATAGGTGCAGTGTAATACTATTAACAACAGGATTGTATTCCCAAAATTTAAGCAAATTGATGTTAAGCGTTGTTGCTTTAATCAATAAACTTGCATTCATTTTTTTTAGTCATCCTGTATACGCAGTTCTAAAAAATATAAATGCAATGGTAAACCACAAGTGTAGTAGACTCATAATATTTTACACATTCTAGATTGAATTTATTCAACAACATTTTGAGATGTCGTCACCACGTTTTTGAGAGGGATAAACAAATCAATTTTCTTTTTTTTATCATGTATACAATCACTTTAAAACATTTGCAAGAGTATTCGTTTTTAAATCAAACTGTGAAATGTTATACAATTTTGATTTTTTTCCCCAAAAAAGCTCCACGCCTAAAAAATTCTAAACGCAATCAGAAATAGAATTTTAAAATCATCTGTGATATTTCATATTATTTAAAACAAAAAGTAAAACATACTGTAAACTCACTTGATATACACCTTGTAAAACTTTTATGACTTGAGCGGCTTTAGCCAAACCACCCTTATAAGTCAAACTGGCTATTCTAAGCTTTGTGAACCCCAACCGCAAGGATTACTACTGTCCATTGTTGCCATAACGGAGCTGTGAATTGAGTTAAGTTATACAATAGCCAGTTTGACTTATAAGGGTGCTTTGGCTTAAGCCGCTTAAGTCATAAAAGTTTTACAAGGTGTATGTCAAATGAGTCTACTGTAGTTATGTTTTGTGTAACAACTTGACATAGTGTCAGATACTATCATGTTAAAACTGGCATTT